GGGGGGGGGGGGGGGGGGGGGGGGGGGGGGGGGGGAGGCGCATGCGCACGCTCGTGTGCGCTCACACGCACATACGCGCGCGCTTAGTTGCGGATCTCAGCAGGGCTGGGGACACCGAGCTTGGCCATGACGGGGCCGAGCTCAACGAGGTAAGCCTGTGGTCGTCGTTGCCACACCACACGGTGAAGATGTCATGGAAGAGGGCGGAGGGGCGAGGGAGCGAGGTGGTCAGCATGGGTGTTCTGTCTCCCGCCTGTAGGCAGCATGGGAGGCCCTTGGCCCGGAGGGCGAGAGCGGAGCACAGCGCCGGCCGGAGCCGGGCAGAAGGCCATGGACGTACCTCGTACTTGGGCTTCTCCTTCCGGAGCTTACCCTCAAGGGCGCCGAGAATGCGGACGGAGGTGGGGAAGTCGTTGAGGCGGCGGCAGGCGTAGAGGGCGGACTGCATCATCGGGGACATGGGGGGCGGGGGGCGGGGGCAAGAGCGGCGGCGGAGCACGCGACACGAAGAGCGTCTCTTGGGTCAGTCGCATGGTGGCTGGGGATGATCGGGGGAGGGGGCGCGCGGAGCAGGGCGGCGCACCTCGAGGATCTTGGAGCCGGGGATGACATCGTGGGAGAAGAGGTTGGTCAGACCGCGGTGGACCTCCTCGATATCGGGGGCGTTGGTGAAGAACTCGCTCCAGCTGGGAGTGTGTGTGTGTGTGTGTGTGTGCGCGGGCGGGCGTGGGAAAGGGGCAGAGGCATTTCGACGGAGGTGCGTCAGTGCGCGTTGTTCTCCAGCGAAGAAGGGGGTGCCGTGTGTATGTGCTCAACGCCATGCTGGTGCGCGTACCGCTGGTCAAAGGCCTCAGGGGACTCGTTGGTGTCGGAGGAGAAGGCGCGGACGGCTGGGTGCCATGGGGGGGGGGGGGGGGCGGGGGGGGGGGGGGCGGGGGGGGGGGGGGGGGGGTGCCGGGGCCCCGGGGGGCCCAGCGGGCGAAACAGGCCCGGGGCCCCCCCTTTGGTGGGGGGGAGGGGGTTTGGGCACTGGGGGGCCCGGGACCGGGGGGGCGGGGGGGCCCCCGTGGGGGTTTCGAGGGGGGCCCCCCCGGGCCCCCCCCCCCCCCCCCCCCGCCGGGCGCCGGGCGTGCTCTGCCGGGCGCCCCCCCCCCTCGCCCCTGTGATCTCTCGTCGATATGCCTGCGGAGTGGGGCGTGTGCCGCACGGGGCAGGGCCCCAGTCCGTCCCCCCGCCCCCGTCCCCGCCCCCGTCCCCGTCCTCGTCTGCGGCTCCGCCAGTGTCTTGTCGGCGACCGCGCCCCGTAGGCACGGGCAGGGCCCAATCCGCGGTGGCCCCTGTGCGCGCGCGGATCTGGCACATCGCAGGGCGCCGGTCCACAATCGCCGAGGTGCGCTCCGCGCCGCTGTCACCGTGCGGCCGTCGCGGCCGCCGGCATTCTCCGGCCCCGGCGGCCCGGCCCCGCGAGCTGCCCCGTCGGCGGCCTGCACCGGCTCCGGCTTCGGCTCTGCGGCTCTGCCTGCGCGAGCACCCCGGGGGCCCGCCCGCACGCACTCACGCACGCACGCACGCACCCCAACGTCTTGCGAGGCAATGAGGCACCTGGGGGCCGATGGGACGGGCACAACGTGGGGCGGGGCGGGCGGGGGGGGGGGGAGGGTGCCCCTCCGCCCCACCGCCCCCGCAAGGCGGAGCAACACCCCTTTTCGCCCGGTCACGGTGCGCCGAGGCCTCCGGAAGCCTGAGGGGGGAGGGGGCGCGGGAGCAGTTGGCAAGATTAAGCGGCGCGGGGCAACCTTCTCCAGGAACGTGCGGGACGAGGGCCGGCATGGTCGCCCCCCCCCCTCCGCCGCCGGCGCCGTCCCCCGGGTGGCAGCACGGCATCGGGGGGCCGGGGGGACCGGAATAGACGGCCGCGTCCCGGGCGCGCGGCCGGCTCATTTGCCGTACGCACATCCTCAGGGCCTTCCCCGAAGGGGGGCATGCTGCGCGGGCGGCTGCCCCGGCACTTCCGAGGGACTGAGGGGCCGGCTCCGCGGAAGACGCCC